ATTTACCGGGCAAGGCCAAAGTCAAAGTTGTAAGTATTGTCGGTGCAGAAGAACATATGGTCGGGATCGAGATTGGCGACGAAGACCTTGTCGAAGAAGGGGAGGAAGTAGTTGGACAAGCTGTTGTCGTCGACGAGGATGAAGTGGATTAAAAGGACAATTAATTTTTGCAAGTGTTTACTTCGGTAAAACTAGTATCCTCTATGCAATTGCATGCACATCACATGTTCCACCAAACCAATGACCCAATCACTAACGAGAACGTGCATCCGCATGCATGCAAAGCACATACCCAAGAACTTTTGAGATCCTGTCATTGTCTATACTCACACTATTCTAGCCAAAAAAATTGCAATAAACCCATAGACCCAATGTTTCCTTAACTGTTGGTACTACCGCATAACTCATCTATCCCAAACGAGTATCTTCACAGCATCAGTGACATCCTTAGATGGATACCACCTTCCTCCGTCCATCTCCATCTTTTCTTCAATAGACTTGTCCTTTATCATTCTTCTAAACTCATGCACATTTACTTCTAGCTCTAGTCAAATTATTTCATTTTCTTGTTCTTATTGTTCTGTACATCGATTATGGACATTGATAAGATTAGATTCGAATATTTCTACCGATATTTACTCCTAGAGAGTTTCTATTAGAATTTAAGGTTTCCGTTTTTACACAGTGAAATGGTAATGTCTAGACCAATGTTGACTACACAGTTATTGGACTTACAATTATGTTATTTGGCCCAATAGAAATTTATTTCAAAACCAATTTGTTTAAACATGTAACATTTACTTTGTATATGAAACATATAATTTTTTGTAAAAAACAACGTGAGCGGTTGTTCCGATGATGCTCAGGTGAACATCGCTCGCGATAAGATTTTAGTTCTTTAAAAATTTAAGAACAAACTATTGTTTGCATTGTATTATTTGAGTGGATCGTATGGTGTGTTTGTGATAGTTCAATGCATTGAACAATCTGCTAAGGAAATTGTGTATTGTCCCTTATACTCTATGAATGGACACACTCTAACTTATAATTACGCAAATGGATGAAGGTTATTGAAGCAAGCTCTCAAAACATTCGAGATTATTTCATGTATCTTCCTTACTATATATTGTTGAGATGAATTATTGGATATCCAAGCATTATGCTCAAGGTTCGTGTAGGATAATCCCTTTTTATGGGTTCTTTTGGTTTTTGTTAACATCCTAGATAAAGGAAATGCTTAAATCCAACAAAATTAAGACTTTTCAAAGAAATATACCATTGATATCTTGCATGCACACAGTGGACTGGACTACTCGTCCTAAGGTTAATGTCTCCACGAATATTGGCAACACTTGGATAAGAATTTTAGATGCGAAAATGTCTAAGGCTGTAGGTTTATAGGCCATTCTGGAATATACATATCTTGAATATAAGGACAATGACTTTTGCTAAGTGTTTACTCGGATAAAACTAGTGTCCTCCATGCAATAGCATGAACATCACATGTTCCAGCAAACACGTGACCTAATCACTGCCGAGAACGTGCATCCGCATGTAGAGCACATACCCAACAACTTCTGATATCCAATCACTGCATATACTCGCATTTGTCCATGACAAAAATAAGACTCAACCCATAATTCCAATGTTTTCTCAACTATTGGCACTACCGCATGATTCGTCGATTCAAAACGGTTATCCTTACATGTTACTAATGGACATTTGGCTTCCTCTTCATGCTACCTGATACTACGTAATATGTGCTATATATGTGGTTTCCTTGTTAGCCATAATCGATGTGGAGAAATAGCGAATGTGCTCGAATCAGTATTTGTTCCATGCCAAAACGTAAAGTATTGATATAATAAAAATCTATCTTAGGGAAAAGAATCAACTAATAAAAATGACAGTACATTCTCTCAATGCACATGTCCTACATTGTATTGAAGTTACACTGAAACTTACAAGAGCAATTACAATCACTCTGTTTAGAAGCACCTTTACAAACTCAAATTTGAGTCTTCAAATATCTCAAGTAAAAATATATCGCACTACTCGATCACTATTTTCCAAGTTCAAGCACTAAACATCTTTAGCGAGTAACTTCACTCAATAACCATTGAGTGGTTGTTCCGATGATGTTCAGATGAACATTCCTCGCGATAAGATTTTAGTCTTTTAAGAATTTTAAGAAGAAACTATCGTTTGCACTACAACGTTTGAGTGGACCGTATGGTGTGTTTGTGACAGTTGAATGCATTGAACCATCAGCTCCAGAAATAAAGAAATTTGTGTAATGTCTCTTATACTCTATGAATAGACACACTCTTACTTATAAGTCACGAGAATGGAAGAAGGTTCTTGAAGCGAGCTCTCAAATTTTTTGAGACGGTTCCATGTTTTTTCTTCACTATATATAACAGAAATGAGTTGTTGAATATCAAACTTTGCATTAGGCTCAAGTTTTGTGTAAGCTAATCTCTTAATATAGATTTTTTTCCTTACATTAATTATAACGAAACTAAGACTTTCCAAAGAAATATACGAGATTTCTCTC